AATATGTAATGCAATTAGAATTTTTGAGCTAATCAAATTATTGCGTTTTTCTCATCTGGTCGATTCTTCGTTGGGACCCCAATTTTATAACCCATCTATACCACAGGATCTGTAATTTCTACCCATGCACAAAGTATAAGCCTTACGTTTGAAAGATCATTATTTACCTAATAATTTTACTCTATTAAATTTTGGTTACATTAGATAATTATCCATATATTTTCAATTTAATTTTTATTAGAATAATAATTTATAAAATTATAAAATTGAAATTTATTTAGCAAGATGAGATTTTAAAATAATTAGTATTTAAAAGTAGGTGTTTTTAGGGGTAAATTGACAATATTAATGAATAGAAGATGAAATTTTCAAAAAAAAATTTAAATCAATATTATTAGAAGATGAAATTTTTAAATAATTAACAATTAAAAGTAGGTAATTTTGGGGGTAAATTGGCAATATTAACGAATAGAAGATAAAATTTTTAAAAAACTTGAAATTAATATTTTTAGAAGATGAAATTTTAAAATAATTAACAATTAAAAGTAGGTGATTTTGGGGGTAAATTGGCAATATTAACGAATAGAAGATGAAATTTTTAAAAAACTTGAAATTAATATTTTTGAAAGATGAAATTTTAAAATAATTAGTAATTAAAAGTAGGTGATTTTGGGGGTGAATTGGCAATATTAACTAATAGAAGATGAAATCTTTAAAAAATTTAGAAAAATCATTAAATTATCACCAATATGTATCAAATGACAGCTGGTTACATTCTTTTCGTGCACGAGCATATGTTTCAAATTCCTTATCATCTTTTTCTTTATCATTTAATTCTATTTTTACATCGAAGGTTTCTTTGTTGTCATCGCGCATAAAAGTCTTAAAAGGGTTAGTTGATGACTCATCGATGATTTCCAACAATTCTAGAGGATAGTATCTATCCTCGGCTCCACTTTTCTTGTCACTGAATTTTCCAATGACGCAATGCGTGTAAGGGTGATGAAGACGTATGCGGTGACGTGAATAAAAATGCGCAGTCACGCTAATATTAAATGGACGCGGTAGACGTCCGTAAGCATTAATTTTATCTGCGCCAATGTCACTCAAACCTCCAATTTTAAATGTTTTGTTGAATTCATTTCTGTCCTTGTAAGTAGTTCGAACAAGCTTTCCTTTAAATTTTTCCAGGATTAGTTCACGATCTTTAGGATGTTGAAGTCGTTCACGGAGTTTTGAGGGTTTACAATTTAATACTTTAGAAAATTCGTCAATAAGAAGCACCATTTTTAATTATTAATAATTAATGATCTAGTTATAAAAATTTTGTAAATGATTCGATAAAATCTTTGATTTAAATAATTAATAGGGGCGTGGTTTATATTAATTACAATGCATAAATTAAAACTACAAGTTACCGCCCACTTTTTTGCTCAAAAAAGTTATCCTCTTATTCATTTACTCATTCTAAAAATTATTTAAGTAAAAAGATACTTCATTTAAATATAATAACAATGCCCCGCAAAACTTCTTCAGTTAAGGAAGTAAAAGAAGTTGGCAACGAAAAGGTCAATGTAGAAGCTACTGACTCAACACCTGATGTGCCAAACCCAGTTAAAGATTTAATTGAAATTCATACACCTTTTTATGAACCACTTACCAAAGAAGAACTTGCCAAGGCGAAAGATAAGAAGATACCTGAAGATAAGAAACCTAAGAATGAGTATCTTTGGAAATTAATCAGATGTAAATATCTGCTTACAATTAAGCTGTGCTCAGGTGAAAATTTAATTTAAAAATTTTAATTAAATTTTTAAATTTTAGCCTGTCAGAATCGCTTATTCCTGATGCAAGACAAATTTATACGTTATGCAACAGGAGTTACTTTGAAAATTGACTTATGCAATGACTGCATCGATACAAATTGCCGTGCTTCAGATGTTCTGGCAACCTTCAAGAAAGCTGGGACTAAAAGAAAAGCCGACTGAAAGTTTTAGAATTAAACAACCAATTTTAAATATTACTTAATTAATCTTATTATTTAACTCTCTAAAATTATATATTAATGATTGTTAAATTAAAATACGAAATAAATATTAAATTTTGAAATAATTACTTTTTGTTGAAAAAATAAGTTATCATTTTATTCATAAATTTTCTTACAAATAAATCACATGATTTAGAATATCCTTCCAAATAATTAATATACTCATTAAAAGTGTATCCTATTGATAAAAAATAAATAAAACATATACAATGTTGTCCACAAGTATCTTCAAATATCGATTGATATGGTTTCTTATTTTTAATTGTCCTCGAGAATTTGTTTAAGAATTTTTCCTCTATTATTGAATTGACTGGTAGAGCCAGGCTATCAAAGTAAATTACTTCTCTTTCCTTACCATAGGCATAAATTGCTATCCAATGTGACCCCTTTAATTGATGGCTATCCAAGTTTACTACAAGCGCTGCAGGGTAGGTCAAATGTGACGGATTAGGCATAAGATCACAAGGAAAACAACCTTTAAAAACACCTGCCGTTTTTTTATTTGATCTTAAAATTTTTGAAATTTGTTCGCTATCCATATAACAACCTTTAATTATAGGTTGACTCTTGTTTTGTAGCCGACAAAGAAGACGAAATAAAACTTTAGTAATATTTTTACTTTTAAAAGAAACATAAATGTTAATTATTCATTACACTACATTTTGTAATTGTTGTCTCGGTAGTTTGACCTTGAACCATATAATTGAGCGGATTTGGTAAATTACAAGGCTAGTAATCATTAATATGTAAATTACAAGCATGACCCAGCAATAAACATTTTCAAAATCATTTTTTGGTTCTGTACAAAAACTAAGCGCCGTAAATTGAGGAAAAGAAATGGGGGACTGTCTTATATTAATTTTTGATTCTCTTAAATTTGATAAATTCTGACGCAAATATTCTGAATACTCAGGCAACTCCTGATGTTTAATATTATATGTTGAGACATGTGTTAAAATATTTATTAATAAAAATATTAATTTAATATCCATATTAATTGTAATATAAAAAATATTAATGAAATATGAAATATAAAATGAAAAATAAAATTTTATGAGCTTAAATATTAGATTGTGGTATCGCTATAAATTGTTCTATTTTTATCTAACATAAGTAGTGAGTCTGCTTCACCCATCACTATTAACATCAATCCTCCATCTGGAACTTGATTACTAAATTTAATATTTACAGACGTGGTTCCGTTTCTAATAAGATCAAAGAGACCGCCATGATCATCTCCACTGTTTGTCATGTTGCATATATATACACAATGTGTGTTTCCAAATTGGAGTAAACTAATTCCATTACTTTCCATTGAATTATTAAATCCAATTGCCTCGTTCATATCACTGAAGGCACGTGCAAACTTTCCACCAGGGTAGTCTAAATCATAAGGAGCCTGAGGATAGTTTCGACCATTGGCTACAATACATATTTCTCTAACATTAAAGGGTTGGAAATTGAATGGGCTTTTTGATATATTTCCCACATAATCTGCGTTTGCGACTAACCCTAGAGTAATTCGACGAGGTATTTGATCCATAAATAGATTTGCGTTAAATTCATAGCGCCCTGGACTAATAAATAGTGATTTCATCATTGTTTTTCTAATAGCATATCGAGCCGGATTTGTTTCAAATTTTCGAGCTATATCCAGAGCCAATCCATCCATTAAGTCGACTTTCTTCACGTAAAGTTTACAATTGAGAATTTCAAAGTGATATCTCGTTCCTCTTTGACCAATTAAAACAAAATTTGTATCATTAGGTATTATTTCGATATCTACTTCACAATGATTAACTAGATAGAGAGGCTGATTAAATAGATCAGCGTCTATTTTTGATAGAAACTGTGCTGTCCTACTTGATGTAAACAATGCTCTTCTCGTAGCAAATCCTGATCCAGCCTCCAGAGTTAATTCATTATTACCGTAATATCCAGCTGAATTTAAATGTGAATTTTTAGATGTAGTTGGATATGAAAATTCATGTGAAAGATATGTTTGATAAGCATATAAAGAGTTTGAGTTAAATATTTCCCTGCCATTAATAGTTATTCGCATATTATTTATGAAAGTCAAACCAATTAGCTGGATAGGTGCTACATTTTCATTTGGAGCTAAATTTACTAGCTGACCATTTTCTTCTTTTCGTATCCGAAATTCTGATAAAATATAACACTTGGAGAGATCGATGAAATTCTGACTTGAATGTATTTTAAAATGATAAGGAGTATCTGTTAAAGGATTACTAGTCAATATCTCATATACTTTAGATGATGAGATGCTCACATTCGTTGGTGGAATTTGAAAAAAATCTAGGGCATTTGTAATTGAATTAACACTATCGTTGTCTATCTTATGAAATGCCATTATAATTAATATAAACCAAATGCGTCTGACCTAATTCTTTTTTTAGAAACTTTAGGTTTTTTAATAATTTTAGTAATAATTGTTTTATGTTGATTAATTAAAGAGTTTCTTCTTCCTTTTATACTATTTCTTCCACGTCCTGTACCAAATTGTTTGGGTAGACCACCTTTATCAAGTATTGTATCAATTCCTTTTCTTCCCTCACTAGTAAATGCGCTTTTTATACTATCTCCTTGATTGACTCTGTCTAACACTCGTTGACCAGTGTTTAATGCCTCTTGGGATACAGTAGTGCCAACACGTTTCATGATTGGAAGCAAGAATCGCCAAAGTCCTCTAAACACATCACCAATTCCCGCACCCCTTTGAATACCATATCCTCTTTGGAAAGGAGGCGCACCTTTGAAGTATGTATAGGTACTTTCGCTTAAATTTTCGAGACCTCCACCTTTTTGAACACTCTGAATAAAATCATCATATCCTACTTTTGACGTATCAAATATAATATGTACCATTTTTTAAACAATTTTATTAATAATTTAATAAATGAATAAATAAAAATATGAATCTATTTATATATTATTAAAAATTTATTACTTTTTTAAAAATTAATACTATTAGTACTGTTCCATAAGAGAATGGTACTAAACGTCCATTGTCTAATGTTCTAAGTTCAACTTCTATATCATTAATTTCCTTGGGAAGAACTCTTGAGTAAATTGGTGTATCATAAATTTTTTCATTATACTCTCCAGGGGTAGCACCTGAAATTGACACCACACGCAGCAACGAATTGAGGGAATCGCCAATAATCATCTTTTCAGTGAGCCCTTTTACATACACGCCGAAGCTAGAAAAACCTCCTCTTAGGTCACTTCCATACTTTGCAACGTCTTTATTTTTAATTATTTGTGGATTTTCAAATCCTAGAACATAACATAACTGTGTTGATAATGATATGTAATCGATATTTGAATGATTAATTTTTAAAAAGAATCTCCCAAAATCATTGTTGTAATCAAATGTAATAGAATTGATCATATTTTTCAAAAAAGTTAGGTTACCACTTAGACGAATACCTTCCCTCCACAAAGAAAATTTATTACTATCAACATTATCATTATTCTCTTCCTTATCTTCTTCGATAGTAATCTCATTGTCATTATCCTTTACTACTGTTGTATTACTCTTAATCCTATGGCTATTCTCTTCCTCATTTATTTCTTTCAGAGAGGCTGATGATTGGTTAATGTCATCCTGTGTCTGCCCTGAAACTCCTGATTTCTTTTGTCTATCATTCAATGGTTCATTCTCTTGTATCTTTTTCTCAGCTGTCTTTACTTTTTCTCTAACCTGCTCTTTTTCCTTTACATTTGTAACATTATTTTTCTCTATACTTGACGGTTTATTAGCTTTTGGTGGTGATATTTTTGGAGGCGTTTTCAGTACTGTATTTTGTTTTGGTTGTGACTCGGGTAAATCATCGATCCTTGGAGGAGTTTGGAGATCACGCTTCCTTTTTCTATCTATTCTTGGAGGTGATATTGGTGGTGATGCTTTAGGAGGCGATTGTAAATCTTTAATGCTAGGAGTCGGTTCGAGATCTCGCTTTTTTCTATCTAGTCTTGGAGGTGAGACAACAGATTTGTTCTTTGAACTATTAGGATCAAAGACCAAAGCGATTGCCTTAGCCTGATGTTCAAGTGTTGCATTCAAGAAATCACGTAATTTTTCAACTTTGGTGTGTGAAGCTTTAGGTATGGGTATTCTTAAAACACTTTTCTGTCCAAGATCATCAGTGAAATGTATTTTTAGCCATTGTTCGTCTAATGTACCAATAGTTGATGGCCATGAATAAGGATAGGTTATACTATGTAATCCACAAACCCAATTTCCATTAAAGTGAATAGGCTTTGGTAATTGAACACGAAACTTATTTGGTTTGTTTATGGAATAATTAGGGACATTACTAGGCAAATGAATAAAAAATGTATTCGACATTTTTATTTAAATTAAAAAATTTTTACAAAAATGAAAATGAATGTTTTATACTAATTGTGATTCATGAATCCATTGTGTTTCAGGATATCCAATGAATTTTACTAAAAGTTTTGTAGTTCCATCATCACTCTTTCTCTTACGTAATATCTTCTCAATACGGTATTCAGTATTGTCATCTCTCCTTACTCTTGCCAGCTCCTCTTTATAGAAAGACCCTTTGAATTTGTCCCCTTTATCATCTTTGATTTTGTATGTAATAGGGTATATAGTTGTCTTTACGTCATCAACTTGTAATATTTCATCTCCCCAGTTTGGTAAATAACCTTTCTCGAAATTACCTTTCTCTCTACTTAGCCGAATATAATCACCCTTAGTAAATTTTGACTTAACATTTTTGATCTTTGAAAAAATATTCCCATAAATCTTTTTCCACACATTTTGAGCATTTGCGAAATTTACATCAATTGGACGCAATCCATGAACTCTGGATATTGAATGATTTATTCCGTCTACAATTTTTTCGAGAACATCTATCCATTTTAATGTCTTTTTCTGCGCGAAATATCTATATAATCGTTGTTTAATATTTCTAATTGATCTCTCTGCTATAGAAGCTTTTACTGTAGAATGATTTGCTTCAAGTTTTTGAATATCCTCCTTCGCAAAAAATTCCTTTAATTGTTTATTTTTAAATTCTGTACCCTTATCAGAAAAAATTCTATGTGGTTTCATAGGCATTTTATCAATTAAATCCTGAAATCCTTTTACCATTTCTTCTCCTTTCTTAGTTTTAAGAGGTACTGTAAATAGACGTTTTGATAATACATCGATTCCCACTAGAATATATCGATTTCATCTATTGTGTTTCGAAAGCGCTTGCATATCGGCCAAATCAACTTGTAGATCAGTCATGAAACCAGCTGCTATTGTTTTACTTCTAGGGAAACGTATTCTTTTTGGGCGCATGAGGGTATAGGTACGGTGCCCTTCTAAATAATTTTCGATCACATGTCTTGGAATATTTTTATAAGTTTTCTTTGCTTTTCTCCATAAACTATCAACTCCTGCATATGCTGAAGGATTTTCTGGATCATTATAAAGTTTTTCAAGTAATTTTTTAGGATCCGCCATTAGTAATATTACCAGAGTCCTGGTTTAAATCGATTAATATCTGACTGTGTTGGTTTTCTCTGTGCCCAGATCTTTCGTTGAATATTGATTTTTGATGGTCTCCTTTGTGCCCAATTATTAATAATTTTAAGTTTTCGCTTTTTTAATGGAACTGACGGGTATCCTTCTTCGGTATACTGTAATTTTCTTTTTTCAATTCTTCTTTTTTTCGTTGGTATTTCTTCAAAATTTTCTCTCTTAATTATTTGACTTTTTACTTTATCCCTTGTTTTTTCAGGTTGTGAAACAAGTGGAGCGTTTATTGCTTCGGTGACTTGTTCACTTTTTATTGATCTATTAACGAGATCGCTAGGCATATACGGTACTCTTAATTTTTTAATGTCATCCCTTCTTATTATGTGTTGTCTTTTCTTTTCTTTCCTCTCTCTAATACTTTCTAAGTATTTATTATCTTCTCTCTCTTCCTTTAGTTTATTTTTTAATTTTCTAGTTTTACTTTTCTCAATCTCTTCCTTATTTTCATCATCATTTTCCTCACCTCTAGGTTTTATTAGTTTTTTATTTTCCGGGACATCATCATCATCTCTTCTTCTTTTGGGATTTCGATTGAAGATTAAAGGTGTCTTTTCTTTCTTGACCTTATTACGAGGTGGAACAGGTGGTGGTTGTGGGGATGGTGGCTTAATTTTAATATTTCGTCCATGAGATGGGATAAGAGGTGGTGGTGGTGACGGTGACGAAATTACAGAGGAATATTTAGGTTGTTGCTTTGTAAACGAAAAATCATCACCCATCCAAAAGTCATTATCATCATCGTTTCCAAAATCATCATCTCCCGTAGATATATATGTTGCTGGTCGAGAATTTGTTTTGGGTAAAAGAACACCTTTAGGTTTGTCAACTACTTCAACTCTAATTGGTTTATTTTCTCTTTCATTTCGCATATTGAGATATCTCCTCAATTCTTGATTATAATTTACATTTTTGACATCTTTGCTTTCCCTTCGTCTCCTAGTATTGTCTAATGCAAGTTTAATTGAATCTAGATTTGGTTCGCCTGTTGACATAATTGTTGAAGTAAGACCTCTATATAAATCCTCTGGGACAAGGATAAGTTTATTGGCCATAAATATTTATTATATCTCTCTTAGTAAATATCGCCCTGCCTCTATAATTATAGGTGTCAATAGAGCTGCGAATAATGAGCCCAATCCACTGCCTTTTTGTATTAAAATTTTACGAGCACCTCGTTCACTTCTTGTTCGACTTAATTTTCGAACAAAATATGCGTGAGGTATTAAACGTTTTTGAACGTGATTTCACTATATTAATACAAATCTCCGCTATAGAAAGTAATTGTTCTCTTGTCGCCTTTTTTAATAATTTTTTCTTTTTTCTTTTGGAATTAGTATAAGCTAAAGTTTTTAAAAATTTTATGTTTTCTTTAACAAGTTGACTAATTTTTGAATTATTATGTTCCATTTTTTGGAATGAAAATTAATTTTTCGTTGTCATCTGTAAATATGTTTGATCTTAACCTTAATAAAGGATCTGAGGAGGCATGCATATCAATTAGTAAGTACCCATAAGGTTCATTTGTCGCCTGCCTGTACGCATCCAAGAAAAAATCCAATTTTCGTGGGAAGAGTTGTGTTCCAATGTTTCTGACACTTAAGGCTGAATTCGGTGATCTCATAATTATAAGATATTGTGCATTTTGTCTGGCTACTTTTATTTTCTTTTCAAACAAATTTTGCGTAACAAAAATAATTGCGAAATTTTGATGATGTGATTTTTTAGTGAATAACTCAGATAGATATTTCTCATCGATTGTAAGTAATAAATCATCTAAAATCAATAATAATGGCTTAGGATAACGCTTTATCATTTCCTCAGTTGGGACACCTCCATATACATTAACACCTGATCGTTGAAGCACTGGAACAATTGAACTCATTTCACCATAACAATAGAGTATACTATTAGGTTTAGGGTCAATTAACTCAAAGGCCTGAGAAATTAGCCTGATAAGGAATGTACTTTTACCAGAAGAACTAGGCCCGGAGATGATCATTCCAAATGGTAATTTAAATTTTAAACTTTTATTCAAAATTGTATTATTATTTAACATTTTTTTTTTATTGCTTGAAACTATTTAAATATTAAACTGAATTCGGATTTACAATATCTGTGAATTTTTGATTATTAGGATCAATCTTATCATTATAAAATGGTTCATTAATTTTTTCTTCATTACTAACACTTCGCTTTACGACTTTCTTTTCATCAGCAATCGATTTGAAAAAATCATCCAAGTCTTCCTCTACTGTTTTTATTGTTTCAGTCTTTTCTTGACTTGTCTTTACTATCTCGTTATTATTTTCTACATCCATGGTAGTTTTTAATTCATGCTCTATTTTTAATCCTGAATCTTTCTCTTGTTCGGTTTTATCTGGGTAACTTGACAATGGTTGAATGATAGATTTCTTTTGTTCAACACTGTCTCGATCATTAAATGGAATATTGAGTACACGACCTTTGTTTTTGATCTAAATATAAAATAAATTTAATAATTAAATTTAACAAACCCGAAAGAAACAATGACCAGGCATATCATAAATTGAATCAAAGGGGACGAATCGGTTCCCTTTGATCCGATTACAGTATACTGTCACTCCTTCCTTTGTTACAACAAAATCAATTTCTACTTCTATAGATTTGCACTCTCTACAACGTCCACATTGATCAAATGGAAGAAAACGTGGTGTGCTAAGGCGAGATTTTGCATGAAGTGTGATTCCGTTTGTATTGACATTAAATTCAATCTCCGGAATTATTATTTCGGCAATATATCGTTTATCACTCATATTAATAGCCATTTTGTGTAAGTTTATAGCTCGATAATTTATTTATGAATGATTACTAAAATTTCGCAGATTTCATTTACGAGGATAATTAAATTAAAGCCCCGCCCACTTAAAAAATTTTGTATAAAATTAGAAGGTCAAGCGAGCACTGACCGCTTAAAACAACACGATTTCCCTTTTAACTGACCGCCAAAAAATTTCCTCCACAGCCAAAGTTTAATTGCACTCACAGCGCAACAGACATTCTAATTGAACATTGACCCTCCTACACGACGTCTTTTTAATAGGAGCGAGATTTATAATTACTTTTCAATTTAATTTGACTAATTAATAGTTAATTACTTTTTTAATTTACCGCTCAGACCCTTCATCTAGGATCAGGAATTTATAGATTATTACGCAATTATTATGTAATAACGAGTTTATTTTATTAGAGAGTTCACTAGGCACAGAATCTCGTTTTAAACCACCTGGCAAAGTAATTTAATTAGTTATCATAATTAGTACATAATTATCAATTATGGTCCTTTTATTAGAGAGGGTCATTATACTAGGGGTTATTGTTCATTAAACAAGGGCTAATTGTTTTCGGACCCCTTTAATTTAACACATGTATTAAATTATTACTTAATTATTATTTAATTATTAATTACCCTTCCCCACCCATTCAACCACTTAATTATTAATTAATCATTAATTAGAAATTATTATTTAATTATTAATTACCCTTTCCCTCTCTTTTAACCCATTAATAATTACTTTTTAATTAATTAATTATTAATTAGGGGCTTCTATAGAGAGGGTTTACCTCATACCCTTTCAAATGACCGCCGACCCCTTCAATAGGTTTAGACTACCCAGTAAAACCCTTCAATAGGCACTGGTTAATTGACAGCGGACCCCTCCCCAACCCAATCGGTTTGTCCACTCAAACACTTCTTTACCCTTAGGATAATTGCCCACTGACCCCTTCCCACCCCCATTCACTCAATAGATTGATCAACCAAACCCTCCTTTAGGCACAGGCTATCCTCTCTCGGACCCCTCCCCCCCACGACCCACTCAGTACCTTTGAGTTTAGTGCGGGAAATTTTACCGCAAATTCCAACGGTTCCTGTGTTTCTACTACTCATAGAACATTACTTTCTGATAAAAAATTTGCAATGAGCCGATTTGATCAGTTTTTTTTTGATTTTTAAAAACTTTATCATTTTTTGTTTTTTCACATTCTTATATCTTATTTAAAAACTTTCATGATGCCAGTCTAAAATAGATAATTAGGGATTTATCAGATTATTAGAGAAATCAAGAGATTTAAGGAATTAAAAGAACAAATAAACAGAGAGATTAACAGAAGGATTCGGGCTTTTAAACAGAGAAAAGGGAGTTTGTGTGATAAAGAGAAACAACAACGTAGGTATTTGGAGATTAAACGGATTTCAGATTTGCGGAAGTGAAAGGGATAAAAGGCTATTAAAAGAGTTAAAAAAGAGAAAAATTATCGTATAATTTGGGGATAAACATAGAAATCAAGGGTTTAATGTTATCGAGGTGAATATCAAGGGTTTCGTTGTTTAATATGATATTAAAGGGACAGAAAGATTAACAGGCGATTAAAGGCGATCAAAGGTACTTAATCACATTAATCCCTTGATTTCTATGTTTATAAAGGTTAATAGATTTGAGATTATTATTAAGAAAAACCGGAATTTTGAAGAATACACAGACATTTTTTGGTTTGGTGAAAAATAGAATCAAAGGCATGAGGGGGCAAAGCGGGATAGCAAGAGATTTGAAGGGAAATTATTATATTTGATGCGTTGCAGAAATAACAGAAGAAATGAGAGAAAAACAGGGTTTTCAGTGATTTTGGTTTTTAGCAAAGAGATAGAGTGATTTGAGCGGATTAATAAGTACCTATATCAATAATAAAAGAAGTTTCTTGGCCTATAATACCACGCAAAGTTTTAGATAGAAATTCCGGAAAGCAAAGAAATAAAATAACAAAAACATTCATATGTCAAGAATAAAGTATTTTTCTTTTTTCGCCATAGGCGAGAATTTAAAAAATGTTTATTAAGTTATAACCCGAATTTTTTTAGTTCAGAAGGATTGGCTTCTTACTCTATTTTTAACAAATTTATATAAAACGGTAATTGAAAGGATGATCTGAGTATAAATAGATAAAAAATAGATAAAAAATATAAAAAATTTTGAAAAAGTTAGCGAGGAGATTAATGTATTTGAGGTGTTTTGAGGAATATGAGCGGATTTTATGGATCAACATAAATCAAGAGATCTGGCAGAAGAATGAATTTGAAAATTTGGAGAATTAAAAGTTAACGATGGATGTTGGTTAACAGTAAGGTTGTCGGATCCGGATATCCGGATCCGAAAAAAGGCCGGATATCCGGAAATTTTCGGTTCGGATACCGGATCCGGATCCGGATATCCGAAATTTTCGGTTCGGATATCGGATCCGGATATCCGAAAATCTCGGTTCGGATATCGGATCCGGATCCGGATATCCGAAAATTTCGGTTCGGATCCTAGAATTTGAAAAAAAGGGTGAAATCTTGCCCATTGGTCTTCCAAAATTCCCAAAATTTTCGCCTGCGGCGCTGAAAATGGAAGAAATCTGGCTTAAGGACCTCCAAAATTCTCAAAATTTTCGCCTGCGGCGCTGAAAAAATGAATTTTTTTGGCCTAAGGCCTTCTAAAATTCTCAAAATTTTCGCCTGCGGCGCAGGAAATGGAAGAAATCTAGCTTAAGGACCTCCAAAATTCCCAAAATTTTCGCCTGCGGCGCAGGAAATGGAAGAAATCTAGCTTAAGGACCTCCAAAATTCCCAAAATTTTCGCCTGCGGCGCTAAAAGAGAAAGACTTATAAACAGTTGTAAAAACTCACATGCCCCCCCCCCCCCCCGAAGCTAACTCCCTGGATACGCCCTTGAAGGATATTGGGATTAGAGGGGATATAGGGGATTA